TATTAACAAAGTTTATTTAACTTCCACCTGCTACCATACAATGATTGCCTTAACCCAGTTGACATAACCCCCCAACCGTTTCATTCTTAAAATTTAAGAGTTTGTTTTGTCTACTTATCTCCTACCTGTGGATGAAATCATGTGATATTTGTCTTTCTCTGTCTGACATATTTAACAGCAAACTTTTTTGTGTGCTCAAATGTTCTCATCTTTGTGTCGTGGGGGCTCTACAAGCTGAGTCCTGTGTTCTTTTAAGAGGAAACTGTTCATCACTGAAAATTTGGTTTTCTGGCACAATAAAATATCCCTAGTTCACCTGCCTTGCCTACCCTCAGAAATTAGCCATTTGTCCAAAGAGCTCTGGTTCCTTTTAGTGAATGGAAATCCCTTAAAATTTAATAATAGCATTTTAGGACCAATTAAAAGAACGATTACATTGTACAGTGACTGTGAGATTAGAGAAATGTAATATCTATGTGGTAAAATAATGAGGAGATTCTGTAAATATATGAAGAAGGAATTAGATGGCAGATCCAGAAAGGGACATTAGACACTCTCGCAGCAGAGCTGAACATCTGTAGTCCACCATTGAGAAGTTCACTGTAACGGTTCTTCAAATGCCCTGTTGGTCCCTCCATCAGCTGGGATTATGTTCAGTTTCAAAGAGCAGAAAACCCTACTTGGACTCGCTTAGCTAGAGGGCTTTTCCCTCTTTATGGGCAAGGACATCTCTAACATTAGGGAATAATATTGATGCTGTAGAATCGTCAGCGTTAAATTAATATTCATGAAGATCATGGTAATAGTTCAAAAATCACCATTCCACAACTCATGAAGATGTACAAAGCAATAGGGACCCAGGCCCCTGCAGCTCTGCAGTCAGCCTCCTCTAGAATATAGCTGCTATCCCTCTGCTTGCCAGCTGCCTCATTTCACTTCAAGCAGATTTCCACATCCCAGGCAGAGAGACTGGAAGACAGAAAGGCAAAAGCAAACTGAATCTGCTTCTACTCAGCACTTCCATTCAGCACCTTCTACTTACGACCATGGTGCAGAACTGAGTCACATTGTGACCCCTAGCTGCCATAGACACTAGGAAATGTAGTTTTCCATACACGTTGCCCCTGGAAATACTGAGTGAGAACAAGGGGCATGCATACGGAGTAGGGAATCGCAAGTGCCACTGCCATGGAAGGTGAAGTTTTAGCCTGCATGAGCACAGCGTTTATCATTATTATTTTTCTATTATTGTCTTTGTTGTCATTAAGCATACTAGGACGGCGTTGTTCCTGGTTTAGATAAGAATACAGTGTAAACTAATGCAGGAACAGACCTTTGCACAAAGATGGGAAGCAGTGAGCTGCACTTGGATGATAGGCTACCAGACATCACTGCCTCAACCACTGAACAGTGCATGTATATGAACCATAAAGTACTTCTAGTTCTGTTTCCCTTTTTTTGTGGTATTCAAAGTTCTCATGTTAGAGTTTCAGAGTTAGAAGTTTAAGAGTTTCACATTACTACTGAAGATGCAGCATTGTCACACTGCAAGTCAACTCAAAGACACACTTCCCACTAGGCGAAGATCCAACACTATCTCCACTCCACCCTGAGATGGACCCACATATGGCACAGCAGACCTCTTCTGTCTGTGCTGCTCCCCTCAGCTGTGTATTTCAGTAGACCCTCCTCTTCTGCTCCCCGCTATGTCTCAGGGAGTCCTTTCATCCCCTGTACCTCTAACCTACACCCCTCCTCTTCTACGCAAAATTTAAAAAATGGAAATAATTTCCCAAACAGGGCCCCTCATGTCACAAGCTTTTAGGTAAAATGAACCCTGTGCTCCTTGGGAAGAGTAGTGGCTTTCCTTTTCTTCAATGCCTGGGCCTTTTCAAGCTGATGGCTTCAGAGAAAGGTTTTTGCCTTTCTGTATAAAATGCAAACTATTAATATCTTCATTTTGAGAGTCAACATGAGACTTCCTGAGATGCTTACTCTGCTAGGACAATTGAGTCAGGACATTCAGCAGTAAGCTTGGTGACAGATGAAGTGATGCCCATTGCCCATCCACCAAGATGCCTCAGCAGAGGGGCCTCAGCAGAGGGAGTGTGCTGTGTCCACTTAAGAGAGGGTGAAGACAGGCTTTTTCCTCCATTGTTAGAAGATCCTATCGCCTGTCCCCTGCCCTGGTCTTAGAATCTAGGTTACAACATACAGGCTACTGCCAGGCATTATGATAGACTGAATAAACTGGAGCAGCATTTTATGTGAGCCATCCTAAGACTCCCTTTCCTGATCCTAGAACTTCCAGGTTTTAAACAGTTTGGGGACATACCATTGCAGAGATCCCAGTTCCCAGATAAATGTGCTGGATTGAGAAGTAAGAGTAGTTCAGATATTCACAGGTTGTAATCAGCATGCCTTGTTACTGCCTAAATGCTAAATATTTTTTAAAACACTGAGTTTGTAAGAGGCGGCAGGGGGTGAAGTGGGGAAGATTGGAGAAAGACAAAGAAATGCCACAATTGTGTGCATAACTCAAGCCAAAGTATACATTAGCCCCGTCTATTCCCGGCAGAGGCACTTGTGGTCTGAACTGTCCAGCCAGTTACCCCAACTTTGCTCCTATCTTTTCCTTGTGCACATGAACCAACCTGAGTCCCCCTCACCATCCTGCCTGGAGGGTATGGGTTCTCCTTATGAATTGCTCTGTTTTATACAAGGATCATTGAGCCATAGGTAGTTTAAGGGATTTCATGGCTATGGCTAAGCCAGGGTCACTCTGTGGTGGTGTATTTCCTACCAGGAAACATTCCAGAGTCAGACCAACAAACCAGTAGGATTCAGTCCTTGTTTTCCTAGTCTTCTAAGCAAAATGCCACACAGTAACAAACAATGCATTGCCCACCTCTTTGTCTAAAATATCGGTTTTAGGAGTAGAAAGAATACTTCATTACAGCAGAGTGGAAAGAGCTGTAGTTGCGACAGTGGAGGTAGGACTTGATTTGCAAGAGATTTGTCAAGTAGTTGGCAAGCAAATCCTGAACCCTTTCTGAAAAGTTAACTTATATTACACTGTTATAGGTTTTGGGATCTAGAGGGAAAAGCTACAAAACAATTGCATTCTTGCATTCAATTGCCTTCCCTTGAGCTGTTATAGAGTAGTCTTGTGTTGAGAAAAGTCTCTCTCTCCCCATACTTAACTCAACCTCAGCATAATACATTGGTCTCCATTGCAGTGAGCAAAGCCTGGGAATACCAGGGCAACTCCCACCCCAGTGATGTGCCAGGAGAGAAAATCCTTGACAGAGAGGTGACTGGAAAGGGAACAAAAATATTGCCCCTGGCGGCCACTCAAGGGCAGAGCGGGAGGGCAAGCGGAACCGTAATCAAGACTGATCAAGACATCCTGCTCGCCCTCGGATAACTGTAGATGCACTGTCTATTCCAGTCCTCTCTGAGCCTCCGGAGTATTCAGAGTCGCTGTACCAGTCAGTTCATTCCTCAATCCCATTTCTGTTGAGGTATAGAAAATACAGAAATCTATTCGCTCAGGTCAGGTTTTTATTTATTACCTGCATGCGTTTGGTCCTCAGACCATTCTTGATCTTGGTCTCTCAAAGTCAAGAGATGTAACCCTCTGGCTGGGTCAAAGACACTGTTGTGGGGGAGTGAGGAGTGTGTGGAGACAGTGTGCTGGAATATACACTCCAAAGCTCGCTAAACGTGCCCAGGAAAACAAGAACATTAACCACCAACCCAAACACTGGTGAGATTCCATCACCACATCTCCCTCCACCAGTAAACATGAAAATGGCATTCCTGGCAGATGGTGGAAACCTCCAATGAGGGGTCCAGGGAGATAGAGGAGAAGAAGTGCTGGTTTGGAAACGAAGTCTAACTGCTATAGTCTTCAATCACCAGAAAAAGTTTCCCCAAATGCCAACTAAATAGAGACAATTTACAGTAACTGGGGAAAACAATAGTTGCACTTTTCTCTTCAGAATAAAACTTAAATTTCGAATGTCTTTGTGCCAGTTTTTTCTTTGGCTGGCCCCATGCCTTCATCCTCGCTCCAGGTGCTCTTCCTGCCTCCTCTCCATACCAGCTTCACTGGCTGACTTTCTGTGTGCAATTAATCAAGTTGATCCTCATTTTAGGACTGTTTCATTTGCTATTCCCGCTGCTAGAATGCCCTTCCCCGGGTTTCTGCAGGCTTCCTCCTTTTCTCTCATCAAATGTCCCCTTCTCGGGGAAGCTTTCCCTAACTACCTATATAATATCATCCCCAGCCACTCTCCATCATTTTCCTCTTTTTATTCTTAGTGGTCAGCACTTTGGTCTCATTTTAGTTATTTATACATTTATTGCTTATTTCACTCAACTAAGTGTACAAACCCAAAGAATAGGGTACATATCTGTTTTGTTCATGAGTGTATCTCTTATGCCTAGAATGTGACTGGCATTTGTTGGATGGATGGAAGGATGGATGGATGGATAGATGGATGGATGGATGGATGGATGGATGGATGGATGGATGGATGGATGGATGGATGGATGGATAGGTAAATGACTAACATCACTGATCTGGGTCAAGAATTTTATCTAGTTTGATACATCTCCTATGCCAAAGAAACACATTCTTGACTCAAGAGCTATAACTAAAGCTAGAATGGCTATCCGTTGAAGCTGTGAGAAGGAAATCGTAATTGGGTTCTCATTGTAAATGAGCACCTATTCACCTTTTCACTTTTATGTTGCTGTGCTTTGGTGTTTAATAAATAGTCCTTAGAAGACTAGGGAGTGTTCTGATGATCTGGTTCTTCAAGATGGAGAACTGAGCCATGAGAAATGCAAATGAGTTGGCAATACTGTTCTGGTCTAATTCTAGCTACTGCTATTACACTTGCTTCTGAGTTTACTGACTATAAGAATAGCATTTTAAAATCATGTATCTCCTATTTATTTGTTCCATTGTTTGCTTATGTGTTTTTTTTTAGAATAACCTCAACGTGGAAAGTGACTCAACATCAGAGACCAGCTTTCCTCTCTCCAAGGAAGCACCAGGCGAGCATTTGGACCACCAGGCTGCACAGCAACCCTTCCCCAGACAGCAATTTCATCAAGAAGCTGGACACCCCTCACTGCAAAGAGATGGCCCCAGGTCCTTTCTCTTAGACCTGCCAAACTTTCCAGATCTTTCCAAAGCTGATATCAATGGGCAGAATCCAAATATCCAGGTAATGCTTAGAAGCTGAAAGGTAGAAAAAAATGAAATAGTTCACCTCTTTCTTTGCTGATCTGATCCTAAAGCAAACATGCTTACCTCCCTTTTTTTTTTTTAATTCCTGAATGGATTCTGTTTATTACCATGTATTTTCTCTGAAAATACTGTTGCCTTTCATCTCTGTAACACCCTGTTGCTTATTGTGAGATGTGTCATTGTTCAATGAGCCATTAATAAAGGAAAATATTTAATTAAAATGTGACACACTGATGATGATGAGCTAAATCTGGTTTTAGAGATGCTGAAATGTAAAAATAAACCAAAATAAAAGAAATAATACACCATGAAATGTGGCAGCTATAAGAAGCAGCCATTCCAAGATGGAGTAGTTGAGGCAAATCATAATATGAGCTCAGAGGTACCTAGGAAGTCACTTGCTCTCAAATGCCTCTCTGACTTGTCTTGGGCACCAGAAACTCCTTTAGGAGGTGACCACACTTCAGTTGTTCTGACTGATAGAAAAAATGTGATAAGAGGAAGGAAGGGGAGAACAGAAACTCCTAGGGAAAAGATGAATCCTGAGAGATGAACACTGAGATGGAAGAAGGTGGAGCTGAGGGAAATGTTGGTTAAAGAAAAGGGAGCTTGAGATGACAATACTTATCTACACTGAAATAGCACAATATTCTCCCAAATGTAGTGAGATTGGACTTTCTAACAGCCTCCTGAAGCATGTTTCCCCAGTATTAGCAATAATGCAATAACTACTCATGAAGTAAGTTTGCCCAGTTTACATGGCTAGTCCGTAGTAGATGTGGGGCTCAAATTCAGGCTCTAGGAGTCAATGATTCTTCACCTTTCCAATCCACACATCAGAAGCAAGCTCCTAATTTTGAATTCTGCATGCATCTCCCTGCCCATTTCTTCCAGAGGTTGTCTGGATGATGACCCAGGGACGCTTACCCCTCAGGGTCAGCCCAGCCTGGTGTAGCCTCTGCAGTCATCTGCCTGCTTCCATACTCTTCAGCTTTGTTCTCAATTCTTTTCATTTGTAGAGCAGCAGCTGTTCCTTATTCTTCCTCTCTATATCAAATTCCAATTAGTTTACATGACAGAAAGTCCCTGAATGTAATCTCAGAGCAACTAGTCCTTCATTAACTCTCTCTCCCCCACTACACTCTCTGCATGATGCCATCTTAGATCAGATTTCCATGACCACAGTTGTTCTGCTTCTAGCATTAGTGTCATGGTGACTGATGAATAGCCCTGAGAACACAATTCAATTAGAATACATTGACCAGCCCCGAACTTGTTTAAAATGTATATTTGATTCTGGGAGATTAAGAAAGGTAAGATTTTTTTTCTCTCAAGGAAGTGACATAGATGTGAAGATCCCAAGGAAATGTCAGAGGTGCATGGAGTCAAAGAAGGAGAACAATTGTGTTTCACAGCAGGTGATATGAATAGGTGAAAGATAAAGGGCAGAGAAGGGTTGATGGTAAAAAAGTGTATTTTGGATCACTCTGACAACTCGTGTCCAGAAGCCACTGATTGCCCCAGTTCAGATTTCCGATGAGTTTTGTATTATCCTAAGTGGTTAATTAGAGAAACAGACATATGCTCCTCTACCCCTCAACCCAGGAAATTGTCACATAGCATCCCCCCAAAAACCAAAGGCTCCACCAGGGTGAGGGGCAGACTGGCAAAAAATCACTGACATTTTTTTTTTTTAAGACTTATTTATTTATTCATACAGAACTGGGGAACAGGTCAGAAATGTGGAGGGGGAGAGAACCCACCAGAGACAGAGTGGGGAGCACTCTGGTGCTGTGCTTTAACCCGCTGCGCCACCAGGGAGGGCCCACAGACATCTTTTAAAAAAATAATAATAAATTATTTGTGCATACAGAACAGGGGTACAGGCCAGAGGTGCAGGGATGGTGAGAGGATTCACCGGAGACAGAGTGGGGAGCAGAACAGGCAAATAGACTGACATAGTCTGTTGAGGGGAGCCGTGAGTGAGACAGGAGAGGTCTGCTGCGCCATGTGTGTCAGCTTGGGGGCTGGGGATCGCCTGCACACCGAGGCAGCTGCTGCTAGCTTTGCAGTGCTGCACTCTAACCCGTTGCACCGCCAGGGAGGGCAGCCATTCCTTACTGCTGCTCAACAGTGTTGCCACCATGACTTCAACTACAGAAGTGATTTTCCTTGAATAGATTTTGTGATTTAGGACAAAACTCTCCTTACCCAATGGTGCTCAGACTGTGCCCAAGACAATTTTAAGCTCTCTAAGGCTCGCACACTTTTTTCAAGATAAAAAATGGGTGAGAAGTGTCACTGTGAGGCTTTGTGCTGAGGATTGAGCTATTAGTGTACTAGATTTAAGAATTACTCAGATAAAGTTATAAAAAATGCCTAGTGCATGGGAGTAGAAGAGTACAGGGAAAATGAAAACTAATTTACTGTGTGCTTGGGACGCCACCTAAAAACCAAATTTTGAGCAGAATTTCCTATCTTCTTATAACACTATTCATCAGAAAATCCCCAGGCCAACCCTGCCTTTCTTGGGGCTATTTAAAATATTTCCTAAGTGGCAGGGAAGAACAGGGGTGCAAAGGCAGTGGGGATTCTCAGTGTTGGAAATCCCAGATTCCTTCTCCAAAAAGAACAGGGCAGCTGCGATGTAGCACGCTCACAGGATGGGTTTGCACTTAATGAGCTCAGTAGAGCAGCCAAGGTTGTGATATGTTTTTCATCATAAGAAACTGTGTTGTGTAGCCAGAGTGGAAGTAAAGAATGCTTCAGAACCCTTCTGTCTGGCTTCTTAAGGATGAGGGGGCTGTTGGAGTTTGAAGTTGTGAACAAAGGATGTGAGAGCAGAGAATTAAGTGAAGGGGGAGTTGTGAGAAGGCCCCTACGTGAGATTCTTTCTGGTAAAGTCTTAGACCTTTATGAAATGCAGCTTCCCCATGTGAGGTCACAATGTCTGGCAACAGAAATGGCCCAAGTGCTGAATGATCTGCCCTTGACCCCTCTGAAGCCACATACAGACGATTTCAGTGAAGAGTAACTCTTCATGTTTTGCTTTGTCTCACCCTTGCCACGGTACAGGAACATTCTCATCTCCAGTGCTGCCTCCATAAGGAAGGCTTTGAACTCAGCTTAGAAGGGGAGGAAGGTCAAGGCCCCTCGTGCAATGTGCCCAGATTTTCTTGAATTACTCATTGGACATCAGAGTTCCCCATAACTCCTAAAAATGTAGATTTCTCTACATATCAGAGGTATTAGAAAAATGGATTGAAACTAAAAGCCCAGTGAGGTGAGGGAAACCCCTATTTTTGCTTACTTCCTCATTGGCTCACTCCATTTCTGCTTTGTCCATAGGCAGGATGGATGAACTAGACAACTTACATTCTATTGAGCTGATGACTTGCTGGTTATAAAGAAAAGAAAATTGAGCTGTATTTGAATCTTCTCTTTCTGGTAGACCACACAAGGATAATGTGAGTCATTCAGAAAGATGTTCAAAGAAAGAAGTAAGCAGCTGCTATCCCTGGAAACCCCAGCCTTCCATCTCCATGTGTGTGAGTGTACACACACATTGCACACACATGCATCATACACATATAGCACTAGTGTTGTGCTTTAAAAGATAAAGCTCTTTCCAAAGAGGGCAGGTAGCTTCCATGTTGGCAGTTCTCAGCCCTTCCTTAGAATGTTGCTTTTCTGTTGGTTTCCATTGGTTTGATATGAGCCTATTCAGCCAAGCAGACAGCTCTGCTGGCCACCCTGGTCCTGTCTAGCATTTTCACTCCCTGGGGAGTGGTGAGGACAGGTGAAGTGTGCCTCAGGGGCTGGCTTCTACTGCCTGAGTTCCTGTCCTTGTCTCCCCCTCCCTTGACTACCTGTCACTTGTCTCCATTTAACTAATGTAACTAGAACTGAGGGGCTGAATAGGAATTCTGATACCCCCTATCTAGACCCTCCTTCCAACCCCTGCCGCGTCTGGAAGTGTTTCACTGCAGTGGTCCAGGATTGGGTTTTTCTGTCAAACAACTCACTCCTTTCCAAAGTGGCCATGCTGAGGCTTCACAAGGGTCCACATCCTTCATGGACCTCTTGAATTTTAGGAAGGAAAATTCACCAAAAGCCCTGGTTTTTAAAGCTTTTTTAGAAATTCCCCTCCCCCCAAGCCAGGTGGCCTCTGTCCCAAGTGCATCAGGCTCTCCTTTGTAAGACTGGCTTCAGGCTGTGGAAGTGAGTGGGGAAAAATAACAGCAATGTGCAAAATAGAAAGAAATAGCCTCAAACTCCTGAACCAAATCTCCATATTAAATTTAAAACAATACTAGAAGTTGGGTTTTGTTTTTCAAAAATCATTCAGGAAAGAAAGTAAATCCCCCAGGACAAGTTAAACTTGAACTTTAGTATCTATCCTTGGCTGGGGTTTTGGTCTGCAGCTGATGGCCAGATAGCAAAGACAAAAATTTCTAAAATAAACTCATTATTAGACTTACTGCATCAATTCATTACCACAGTAGCTATTCACAACCAAATATTTCTCTTTTCTGGATCAAGCCGAGATTAGTATTCATTTCAACCATTATACTTATTTCTTTTATTCCATTGAGAGAGACTTAAAAATAGTCATCTAAAGACCTCCCCCCCCCCCCATAGACTTATTTGCATGGCCATAGGCCTCTTGAGTGCCACAAGATACAATCAGAAGGGTTGGCCGAGGCTACAATTGTTGTGTGTGCTTCTACTTAGGATTTTCTCTCCTCCTTTTTCTCTGGAATGGCAGGTCTTTCTGAAGAACAACTAAGAAATGTCTATTTCCAATATATGAACCCCCCCATCCTTGGGCCTGTATTGGTCAGCCTTTTATGGGAACTTGCTATCCAGAACCTGAAATGCAGGCTCTACCAACTTGTATTTTGGATCTTGAGCCACCATTCATTCAGCCAGACTTGACCTCTTTGGCTTTAGGCAGGCTACTTGACCTACCTATGGCTCTGTTTCCTTGTCTGTGTGTACCTGTGACTGTTGTGTTACTACATAGAAGTAGGATTGTAAGATCATGCATGTAACGTGCTTAAATATGGTAAGCTTTCCTAAACTGGTTGATGTTGGTTGACAACGGGCATGAAATGGAATGAAGAAAAGTGTGTAAAATAATTGGGAATCAGAACACCTAGATCTAAAAACAGCTCTACATCTTCCTTTGTATCCACTTAGGGAACCTGAATTCTCCAATCCAGTTTCTGTTCCTGAAGTTTAGGTGCAACTGTTGTAGAATAACAATAATATTTGGATAAACACACTACACAAGTCTCAAAACATTTAACAACTAATTCACCTGAGGTTGACAGCGTTGTTGTTAGGGCATTGGTCTGAGAGAAAAGATTTTATATGTCATCCTAGACCATTTTATGTTCTTTGTGTGGAAACTGGGAAGGAGTTGGACCCTAACCTTTCACAGGAGATTATCTTCCTGTCCCTGGATTATCAGTGCTCCTAAGGAAATCTTCTTCTCTCAAGGCTCATTTTCCTCTTTGGGAAATACAAAGCTATGCCAGCCTAGTCCCCACAGCTCACATAGAAGGCCAATGAACTAGAAAATTCTACAAGATTCTGAGTTTGGAGTGTTGAGACTTCTGTGTACTCAGTGCCATTACTCTATTATCAGTTAGACTAAGAATTGTGTTAACTTTCCTACAGAAAGTGCTTTTTACAACAAGCGTAAAGAATTTGTTTCTAATAAATGTTTTGACTTGTCTAGAGGAGGGGAAAAGCTGATAACATTGCATTTCTGCTTTAGACAGAATTTCCAAAACTGGTATCTATTTTGTGCTGTCTTTACTGGGAACTGATGATAGATACTCTGCCAGAAGTTGGACTTGAGTTATTTGAAAGCAATCTCTTTCTTTAATTGTCATGATTTATGGTATGGAAGAGTCCAGAAGAAACAAATGTATAATACATCATTTATGTGTATTAAGGAAAAGAAAGGATGTTAAGATCTAGAATCTTTATCAGCTTGGAAATCTACTGGGCTCATTCCCACACCTTTAGCTCATCACATTGATTATTAAACAAGACATCTTTATAAACAGGTTCTTTGAGTGTAGGGAACATGTAAATACAATGAAAGCAACAGTAAATATAAAACTAATCGACTAACCCCCACCATTCAAAAGAGTCATTGCTCATTAAGTCTTTTTAATTGAATGACTATGAAATTTCATGTTCAAGATTAGATTTCTCCTGATATTAAAAGAAGTATGAAGTTCCCACATTATTAACTGTAGGGAAGGGTGGATCCTTAGGATTGTGTGTGTGTGTGTGTGTGTGTGTGTGTGTTTGTTTTTAATTCTGTTGGGGCAATGGCTAGAAATTAAAGGAGAAAAAGAAACCTCTAAACTGTTGAGATTTAGTCATTGATATAGTTTTTGGAGTAAATTCGCATTTCGTTACTCATTGCCTGGCCAAGCAATAAATCTATTTTGTTTGGATCGGAGTATAAGTTTGAAAAAAAAAATCATATTGACGGTAATAGCTTAAAACATAAAATTGTTTTTATTCCCAGCTTGAAGAAATTGCAGGGCATGTTTTGTTTAGGCAATCCCTTGACTCCAGCCTGAGTACAAATGGAATACCAAAACTGTTGGGCATGTTCCCCCTTATCTCCTACCCAGAGACTGATTTCATTACCATAATTGCAGGCTTGCCTGGCTCTTGGCAGCTTCTCTCCTTGGAGACCCTTAATAGCCTTGCAGACGATTGTTGCGGCTCAGTTGTTCTGTCTGTAGGCAGAGGGGAACTGGACTGCGCAGGCGAAAGATTATGTCTCCAAAGGCTCGGTATGGCCTGTCTCTGCCCAGCTTGGTTTGCACTGCTGCACTGTGCCCTTCTTCTGCAGAACAAGTCCTGTGCCATCACTCATTCCCCAGCAACCCTTCTTTCTAACATATGGCTATGGTACAAAATGGATGATGCATTCCCTCTCTTTTCTTCCCTTTTGTTACCTTTTGAGGATGACTAGAAACTCCATACTCATTTACAAATATACAAGGGTAACTTAAGAGACTGGGGTGGAGGTGTGGTATGGGGTAAAGTCATTAGTGCCCTTCTAGGCACCCACAGCAGAGGGGAAGATGCAGTAGACCTGCTACAGCCTGAGATACTCTAGAACTGAGGGCCTCACTCTTGACCTTGTATCTGAACTACACAAGGTCACATACCCAAACCACTGTAGGCTGGACAACTTCCTTTGAATGTCAAAGTAGGTAGAATTCAGACTTCTTCACTACTAATACAAAAGGAAGGGGCTGTTTATCTCTGGGTTGGGCACACCCTGGTTCAATTTGGCAAAGCATCCCAGCAACTCTCTCAGATGTCGAGTTAGGGCAAAACTGGAAATGCATCTGCCCAGTACATCTTGCGCTGATTACTTGGAGCGCATGTTTCTGATTCATTTGCACATAACTCATCCAGGGGGTGTTGCAAGAGCTATGTGATGGCCAAAGGAACCCAGTGAGTCTTTTATTATATTCTTTTAAACAAGTTTCTCTATGTTGATTGTCTCTCAGAGCCAAGAAGCTGTATTCTTCCAGCCCTGTGATTTCCAAACTAGACTCTGTAAATCCAAGAGCAAGTTCTGACCTTGCCTCCAGGTCTATCTACGCTGACCCTGGGGGTCAGTTAAAGAGTTGATATATGAGGTCTGGGTGATGGAATGAGTGAAAGTGGCAGCTCTGAAGGCCTGGACCTTGGGGAGCTCTTGGGGAATTTGTGTGGACCGCTCCACAGAACCTGTGACATGCAGTCCCCATCAGCACTTGTCCCATGGCCCCATGAGGGTATAGTAACTTTGATGCCTTTTGAGGGGCTATGTGTTCAGTTGGTTAGAGCTTGGACTTTGAATCCAGATACCCACGCCTGCCAGTTATTAACTGTGTGTCACTAGGCAGATTGTTAACTTCTTGGTGTGCCAATCTATGAAAGACATCTGTGGTTGTCTAGTAGCCACTCCAAAACTTAAGTTTGAAACAAGCACCATCAGATTGTTCATGGTGCTGAGGTTCAGGTATTTGAACACAGGAGAGCTCATCTCTGCTCTACATGGTGTGGCCTGCAGTGACTCACCTGGGCTAGAGGATTCCCAGTGGGTCCACATGATGGGCTGAGCCTGCTTGGTCCTCATCTCTGCAGCCGCTCTCTTAATTTGGCATCTATGTGTGCAGTAGTCAAAGCTAGGGTTCCTTACCCAGAAGTCAGAATATTCTAGAAAAATGAAAAGAGGAGCTGCAAGGCCTCATAAGTAAATTTGTAAATGTAATTTACAAAGTAAACCACAAAGCTAGCCCAGATAGAAGGGAAGGAGAAATAAACTTCACCTCCTATGTGACACACACATATAAGGACAGAAAGGATTGCCGGAGACATCTTTGCAGATAATCAATGACAGCGGTTGTTATGAAGACTGCATAAATAAATATGTGGAGCATTTAGAAGACAGGCTGGGACAGATTTGGTAACAGCAAATGATCAGTTTTACTCTGGTGTCACTTCAGGAAATATATATATTGCGTGTTTACACCTTGAATGAAGACTTCTCAGCCATGTAGTCAACCTTCATTATAAACTATCTCCTCCCAATCCAAATCCCACGTCCAGCAGTGCTGTCTAGGATGGGTTCACTGCTCACCCCAGATGTTTTGCATTCTGCATCATCATAAAAGTCAGCTTTCCTTTGAGAGGGATGCATTCATCCTTTCCTTAGGCTCTACCAGACTTTCTTCAGGGCCACCCATTTTGGAGGCGGTTGGCTCCTCATTGATCCTGGCCTATTCTGAATTCTTCAGGTCACCATAGAGGTGGTGGATGGCCCTGACTCTGAAGCAGATAAAGATCAGCATCCGGAGAATAAACCCAGCTGGTCAGTCCCATCCCCCGACTGGCGGGCCTGGTGGCAGAGGTCCTTGTCCTTGGCGAGGGCCAACAGCGGGGACCAGGACTACAAGTACGACAGTACCTCCGATGACAGCAACTTCCTCAACCCCCCCAGGGGGTGGGACCGTCCAGCCCCAGGTCACCGAACTTTTGAAACCAAAGAGCAGCCAGAATATGGTGAGTTTACCACCCAGTAATATAAAGTTGGTGGGGAGAATAAATGACAATGATGAGGCTGAAAGGACACAGAGCCAAGCAAAACCCAGTTTACAGTATGTGGCTTTGGTCTTCTAGGAGGCAGGCCTCGTAAAGACTGTTCTACAGAAGTCCCAAGGAGGCACCAGTAGCCACAGTTTTCTGAAGACTATAATTTTAAAATCATACCCATTATCTTAGGAGAGAGTTTTTCTTTTTTGGTCAGGGTTCTTTTAGGTTCTGCCTTTACCCCCCCCCCAATTTTTTTTTTTTTAACTATAATAAAGAACTCACCAAATTTACTCCCTTATATATTTAGACTGTAGATATTTATATCAAAAATGGTTTAATAAAAGAGATGTGTCTAGTTGTTTCATTTGACCTGACAACTATGGTATATTTGACACTGGCAGTGAAATGGGCCTGGGAATCTGCTTGAACATGAGCTTCCCAGGCTATCAAAGGCCACTCCACCAACAAATTTCAAGACCCCAAGTTGGGACTTTTAGCTTCAGTTTTGGAGGTGTTTTCTTTTGTAGAATAAGTTATGTAACAGACAACTTCCAATGCAGTGAATTAAAATGATAAAAGTTCATTTCTTACTTGAGTCATTCAGTCATTCAGAGGCCCTACTTCCGTTCTGGAGTTCCACCAACTACTAGGGTCTATGAGGCATCCACCCAATGCTCTACATCCAACTGGCAATCCAGGAAAGAGGGGGGACCCAGGGAAGGCATGCATCCTTTTAACTCCCAAGCCTGGAGATGCTACACATCACATTTGCTCAAATTCTATTGGCCAGACCCAGTCACATGACCGCATATAGACACAGAGAGTCCGGAAATGTGTCCTTTGTGTCCACGAAGAAAAGAAAGCTTTGGGAAGCAGCTGGCCAGCCTCTATGGGGAACCAGGCATGTGCCTTAGGTTGTAAAAACATTTGCTGTCTTACAAATGTATCCATCAATGAGATTTCAGGTGGCTTCATCATCCGCAGACTTGGAGCAAATACTAGATGATTTGCAATATGCCATTTGCATTCTCACCCATATTTCTGGTGTTCTGCAAACTAATAAATGATTCTAGGCAATAGGCAATGGCTAAAGCAACAAGACAGTTTTTTTTTTTTTTTTTTTCCTATCCCCATGGTTCAGTTGTCTAACAGAGATTTATTAAGAGTTTACCTTGTGTCTATCTCTCTGATAGATGCTAGAAATCTAAAAACATGGTATAGTCCTCTCTTAATGAGGATCTCAGTTATTTATGGACAAGGTAAATTAGCTGGTAGAGCAAAATAGCACCGTGGTCGAGATACCACGTCAAATGCTAGTGAACAGAAAGAAAGCTATCAGACTCCTTCCAGCCAGGAGGCTTGTGAAACCTTCTCCTCCCCCCCACCCCCTTTTTAGAAGAAATCCAATTATTCTGTTTTCCAAGAATGAGAACTGGGAATGGTAACCAAAATTTACCATGCATCAGTCCTCTTCCTGGCATCTCACATATATTAGTTCATTCAGTCAGCTCTCTGAGACACAGGCTTCATTTTACAAATGAGAAAACTGAAGCGTGGGAAATTAGGCAACTTGACCTCAGGGTTCAAGATGTAGGATTTATCTCAGTAGTCTGGATCTAGATTCTGTCTTCTTAACCACTGTGCTACTCTGGCTCTTTGGGGGGCCAGTGGGGGCGCACCCCCTGTTAGGATAGTAGCGTAGACCGAGCAGTGGACACTTAGATTAGAGGACACGAGTGGGAGGAAAGGTCTAATCCTGTTGAACAAGAGAAACACAAAGGATGCTGGATGTCAGCCTGCTTTGCACAGATTGGAGGGTAGCCTGCCCAGCCCACAACAGAACATTATTTCTAAGAGTTGGGTTCAGACCCTTCAGAATCTTTCATTGCATGTTTTCAAAATTCAAGTCCTGGACCCCTGACCCTTCCCTGAATGCTAATAGTCTTTAAAGTTTGGTGTCCAAGCCAGCTATAGCAGCATCACCTGGAACCATGTTAGGAATGCAAATTTTCAGGCCCCCACACTGGATCTACTGAATCTGACACTTTGGGATGGGTCCCAAAAACCTATGTTTGAATAAGCCCTCCAGGGGGCTCTGGTGCATTGATTACCACTATTCAAGGCAATGATTCTCAGCTTTGGTTGCTAATTATACTAACTAGGAAAATGTGTTTAAATCTTGATGCCTTTTCTTGATGCTTTTCTCTAGTCCCATCAATTGTGATCTCTGGGGGTGGGGCCCAAGCCCCAAGCATTTTTCAAAGCTCCAAAGTGATTCCAAAGTGCAGCCCAGGTGGAGGGATTTTGCTGTCCTTGTACTGAATCAGAATAGCTATTAGTGTGACCTGGGAGTCTTCTCACTTTGCTCCTTTGTTTCTTTTTTAACCAAAGTCACCAGGTGATTCTCAGCCTTATTGAAGTTTAAATACACAGTAAAAAATAATTTCTAGTCTAAAGCTTTTACAGAGTACCCTCTGCTGAATTCATGAATGTAGATAACATCCTTCCATTTCGGCCTTAAGAATAAAATTTGCTGCTTCCATTTCAGCCTTGAGGATAGAGTTTGCTTCTACTGGGGCAGTTACTATAACTTTTTTTTCTCTCTCTCCCATTCTCCTTCTCTCTCTCTCTCTCTCTCTCTCTCTCTCTCTCTCTCTCTCT